TCTTCTTCTTCTTCTTCTTCTTCTTCTTCTTCTTCTTCTTCTTCTTCTTCTTCTTCTTCTTCTTCTTCTTCTTCTTCTTCTTCTCTAGTTCCATGGATTTTTGAAAAGAGTCTCATTCAACAATAGTGCTGGGGACCTAATTTCTTTTGATGAAAATGTGGAGATAGCAGCTGGATTTGATATCATCAACTGGATCACGTTTCCTAATGAGTCCTTTCTTAGAGCCAGAGTTGGAAGGATTGACCCCAAAGCTCCCGAAGACAAAGTGTTCTCCATTCATGAAGAACAAATCATTTGGTCGCACATGTTTAACCAGGTGTGCTCTTGTCTGTATGCTTCTCAGGGCATATTATGTTATGGAATATCATTTTAGGTTCCTGGTGTTCCATTAGTGTTTTCGAGTTCAAACTCTGGAGCAGTTCTGCCTCTGTGTTCTGCCAATCAGATAAGTACTATTCTGACCACATTTTTCAATTTGAAATCATAACATTGCACAATTGTGAACATATATTGCTGAACTATTTACTTAATTTACAGAAACGGTCATTTTCCGAGTAGCAAGTCACACTTCAAACAGCGGAACTTTATTTCAACTAAAGTCAGTAGGATTTGTAAGCCTCATGGTGCCCTAATCTGTGTGGCCCAGGCTAGCCCAATGTCATCAGCTCTTGGAAGCTAAGCAGAGTCAGCTCTGGTTAATCCTCGTTTGAGAGACCACCAAAGAAGTCCAGGGTTGCTACTCAGAGACAGGCAATGGCAAATCACCCTTGAACATGTAGTGTCTTGAAAACCTTACAGGATCTCCATGAGTAATTTGTGATTTGATGGCACTTCCCCCCTTGAGGTGGCCATAGCATTTCCTCGAGATCTGTATAATATATGGAACTCTGCCTTTTAGTGGAAGACATAGAAATATCCCATTGCATATTAAGTGGTCTCCAAAAGAGATGTTCTTATGCCATACCCGTGGCAAGCTGCTCCTTACATGGATGATTGACTAGTGAAATGAAAACTCCTGAAACGTATTTCCTGAATGTTATTTTTAATAAACCCCAAAACATTTCATTTATGGAAAGGTGCAGCCCCTTTCTCTGTGCAATGACAGATGCCATTCAGGATACAGGAAGAAAAAGAAGGAGGGGAAGCCATTTTGCTGCTATGATTGCCGTCCATGTCCAGAAGGGAAGATTTCAAGCCTGGAGGGTAAGGTTTGTATTCACCAAGCTTATCCAATATTCTTTTTTCTTCTAACACCAGATCTGAAACCGGCAATTTTAATGCTGGATTTTTCTGATAGTTAAAGCTTTGAATATATTATCACCTTTTAATTTTAGGTTTTTTATATAATACAAGATGTGATGACTTAAAAGAGACAAGCAGGAACACACAGTAAGCAAAGAGCGAATGTGAAATACCTGTGTAAGTACCTTTGTCATCTTTTCCACACAGGTATTTCCCATTTGCTCTATGACTTAGAAGAGTGCAGCTGCAGGATAAATTTTGTTTATATTAAAGAAATGAGTAGATTAGCTATGAAATCTCATTTCCTTTCTGTTTCCAGTGGGTGGGGATTGCCGCAGATACAATGTAGCAGGCTGTTAAAAACTTTGAGGTACGTGTGTTTTTGTGTGCTGTATGTGTGATCAAACAGATGATTGGATTGAAACCAATAAAATTATGTGTTTCTGAAATTGAAAGACGTGTTCAGTGATGAGGTTTAGTTTACCAAGTACAAAAGTCTTACA